CCACTATGCTACCAGAGCTCCCTATGGTACATTAGAAAGTAATAAAAGAGAAAAATAAAGACAAAGAGGAATGGGATGTAGGATTTACAATTTAAACTAAGTGGGCATCAAATAAATAATGAATATAAGATTTCTTATGAGTATGTCTAAGCAGCATTAATAATAGTAAAAAAAAAATAGACAACTCAACAATGACTCATGGGGACCCTATAAGACAGAGTAAAACTGTTCCATTGGGTTTCCAAGGCTACAGTCTTCAGGAAAGCAGATTGCCACATCTATGTCCCACGAAGCCACTGGGCAGGTTTGAACTGCTGACCTTTCTATTAGCAGTCGAGTGATAACCATTGTGAAACCAGAGCTCCTTAGACTAAAGTGGTCAATAATGACAGGGACACAGCCATGGTACCTTCTCAAAGAGCTGTTTTGAGGTTTAAATGAGTTAATGCACACAAAGGAGACAGAGCAGCTCCTGGGAAACTCTCACTGCCGTGGAGTCAGTCCCGACTGATAGCGACCCCTCTTTGGGTTTCCGAGGCAGTAAAAGAAATCAAGAATTAATAAGTGAAACATATAGTCTCAAACTGTTAGTACATTGTTGACTGTGTAGTTGTTTTTCAATTTATGAGTAGTGTATTTTATTGACATAAAGTATGTTTCAGGGTACAGCCTGTTTTCCCGTGAGAAAATGGAATTGGTGGAAGTAGTGCCTAAGGCATTTGACTGCTAACCAGAAGGCTGATGGTTCAAACCCACCAGCCAGGCACTCCTCGGAAGGAAGACTGGACAATCTAATTCTGAGGCAGTATCTCTACGGACTTTTGTACAAAATCCAATTAAAGTTCTTCTGATACTGAACACTGTCTCTTTAAAAAAGAAAAATAAAAAATATTTTCATTAATATCTATTTTATTTTGAGAAAGAGAGAATATTCTGGATAGGAGGATGTAGCAAAATTAACTTCAATGTCAATTGTTCAATGTCTGCAAACAGAATTTGCCAATATAACCCCATAATGCGTGCAAACGTTCAAATCAGAAATAATATAGATATATTACTGCAGATCTACTTCTAATAAAAATCATATTTACAGGAATTCATTTTCATCTAGCAGCATTAGGAGTACAAGATAATTCATCATAATAATACACAATTTATTTCTACTTTATTAAAACGTACACTTACATGATATTTATGTAGCATTAGCACAAGTTCTGGTCTGCTTAGAAAAGCCTTGGTAGTGTAGCTTGAATACAGTTCCAAAAAGATGTGAATTACTACTAAGGAATAATACTGAATGGGTTTGGCATGCCCAAATTTTGGATATACACTTTGTGCGTTAATTGCAGTTATCCCTTCCACCAGAGAAACAACAGTTCTGTTTTCACAACAAATATCCAAAATACCAAGATAGCTCAAAGTCTACTTGTTATATTTTTTAGAAATTTGTTTTGTTTTATTAGATAACTCTTTCTGACAAAATTCTACAGCCTCAATTTTATGCCATGTTGTTGTTAGCTGTTATGTGCCATCGAGTAGGCCCCGACTCATAGCGACCCCTCCTTGGGTTTCCGAGGCAGTATCACTACAGAAGTAGGATTGCCCAACTTTCCTTCCGAGGAGTGGCTGGTGGGTTTGAACCACCAGCCTTCTGGTTAGCAGTCAAGTGCTTTAGCCACTATGCTACCAGAGCT